GTGTGCGTATTTGTAAGTGCCCATAGGCGAAACCGGGCTTCGTTCACGGGGAAAGCCCGTTTGGAGAGATCCCCTTCACTCGCTTTCGGGCGGCTCCGTTTATAGGAGTCCCCTACCATTCGCTTTTCGGTAAGGCCCGTTTATAGGGTCGCCGAGCATTCACTTCCCCGGTTTGCCAGAAGGCGTGTGTGTGTGAGTGTTTGCGTAGTGTGTGAGTGTGTATGTGTATAATGATTAATGGTTGGACACATCGGCAGAATACCATTATCTTTTGCGTCATTTGTGAGCCATATCTTCCTCTTGGCCGTGTCCGTTATGGCGTTGCTGCTCAGAGCATTGACGCGACGGACATCGTTTCCACCGGGCACGTCGTGGACGTTGGAAGCTAGCATTTGCCCAGTGAGGTGTTACCACTCACTGGACCAGCCCGGCTTTATTATTATTATTATTATTATTATTATTATTATTTTTTTTTTTTTTTTTTTTTTTTTTTTACAAGGAGTTGCGGGATCCTTTTTGCGGATTCCCCTTAGTCTTGATCTAAGGAGGTATGTGGGACTCCCCAAAAAAAAAAAAAAAAAAAAAAAAAGACAGGCCTACCCACTAAACCGCCATCTCCTTGTTGTCCTTCCCCCAGCCAGGGACTATGTTGATATTACTTCTGACTGAGGGTTCTGTCTGTGTTCCTTCGTTCGTATCGTTTTACCGTGCGTCGTTACGTCGCGTCAATCCGTCTGCTCAGTCGTCCTTCAGACAGTCGTCCGCGTTCTTACGTCTTAGTATGGTTTCCGTATAGGTAGCGACTAAACGCCACCATTCGGGTTTATGCAGCATCACCTCTACAATGTTATTGGGGGTGATGTTGCCAACTGTTGTCTCTAGTTCTCGTCTGAGTCTTGTCCAGCGGTCGCACCCGAAAAACGTGTGTTCCGCGTCGTCTCGTTCGTGTCCACAATACTTGCAGTCGGGTGTTCGTACTCGGTTCATATTGTGGAGGTACCGTCGAAAGTACCCGTGGCCCGTCAAGAGCTGGATGACGTGAAAATTCACATCACCAAAATTCCTTCCAAGCCACGGTCTCACGTCCCGTATCAGTCGTCTCGTCCATTTGCTACCTCGTTCTTCTGTCCATCGGTCTTGCCACATGTCGATCGTACTTTCGCGTTCAACGATTGCCGCGTTCTTTCGTCCTATGTCTGCGCTGCTCCCATAGATCCTTTTGCGTTCCGAGGCAAGAAGATCCACGGGTATTACGCTCGCCACCACCAGGACAGCCTGCGCAGAGACTGTTCGGTAGGAGCAAGCGATTCGCAGAGCGCCCTGTCTCTGTACCATCGTCATTGTCTTACAGTACTTCTTTGTCTTCAAGGAATCTGCCCATATTTCCGCGCCATATAAGAGGATCGAGTGAGCTGTCGCCATTAGCAGTCGCCGCTTTTCTGGTCTCGGTCCCGTCGTGTTTGCCATCAGGCGGCTCAAGGATGTTATCCTCTCTGCCGCTTTTCGGGCTGTCTTCTGTATGTGAGGCCAGAAGGTCATCTTCGTATCGAGGGTTACCCCAAGGTACTTGACTTCCCCTTTGGTCTCCGTTTCGTATGTACCCACTCTCATGGGTAGTATCGTCTGTATGCGTCTTTTCGTGAGAAGCATAAGTTCCGTCTTTTCTGTTGCGAGTTGCAGTCCGTGTTCTGTCATCCATCGTCCAACTCGTCTCATGGTCTGGTTCAACGTCAGCTGCGCCAGCTCGGGAGATCTCTCCGTGATCACCGCCGCCACGTCATCAGCGTAGGCGACGAGGGTCACTCCGAGTGGCATCCCAAGCCGAAGCAGACTATCGTATAGACCATTCCAAAAGTCGGGTCCCAGTATCGACCCCTGAGCCACCCCAGCGGTGACCTGTCTCGTTACCTGTCCTTCGATCGTCTCGTACGTTATTCGTCTGTTTCTCAGATAATCCTCCACAACCCGAACCAGGTACGGTGGAATACGAAAGTTGCTTTTCAGCGCCTCCAAGATATCCACCCACCTGGCCGAGTTAAAAGCATTTCTGATGTCGAGCGTGTCCACTTGTGGCAGGGAATTTCGGGGGGTTTGACCGCGCTCCGAGTTCTTCCGCCACAAGGCCTGTTCGGCTCTACCCCCGATTATTTAGGGCGCCAGACCGTCGGCTAATTCCGGCGATCGTCGGGGGTAAGGCCAGTAGGGTTACGCGTATCCCGGTCTGCCTAACGGCGACTGCGCAGAGTGGGCAAAGGGGGATACGCGTTGTGTCCGAAATTCAGGCCTTTGGTGTCCAACTTTCCTTCGTTAATTAATTTCTCCTTGATTAGTGTATGCCGGCAGCTCAGATGACGACTCCTTAGGTCAGGTCGTGAGGACGTTCGAAATCGCGCGTATTTTACCTAACGAATAATCCGAAAATATAGCGAATTAATAAACCCGTATGTAATTATTATCATTATTATTATTATTATTATTATTATTATTATTATTATTATTATTATTATTATTATTATTATTATTATTATTATTATTATTATTATTATTATTATTATTATTATTATTATTATTATTTTTTTTTTTTTTTTTTTTTTTTTTTTTTTTTATGGTGGTAAAAAAACAGGATAAATCCTCATGGACCATAACGGTTGGAGTGTGACGGCAGTTCACCGAAGCTACCCACCTACACTCTCCCACCCGCCGTGTGACGTGACTCGCTGATCCTCTCAGACCGGGCTGTTTCAAGCGATCTATCAATCGAACGCAAGGAGCCTCCGGGTCGTCGAAGACCAGCTGACCGCCCAAATCCCGCTTCTCTTCAACCGGAGGGTAAACCATCCGGGGAAGAGTAGTAAAGTCCACCTACACCATTCTCCAGCGGGGAACCGCGTAAGCATTACTTCCCGCTGGAGAACCGCGTCAAGTCCTCTCGTTGTCCACGGGTCCTGTATCGTTTCGTTACGTCCGTTTATTCACATTCATCCATTTGTTCATACCATTTACTCCCGCATTCTTCTCGTCTAACACTCGACTTCCAGGCAACCGTCCGCCTTTTTCCCTCGTAGGATAGTCTCAACGTACGTTGCCGTTACCGTCCAGTAGTCTTTGTCTTGTAGCATCTTTGCCACAATGTTGTTGGGCGTGATGTTTCCAAGCGTCGTCTCCAGTCTTTGCCTTTCGTCGTTCCAGTGTGAGCATTTGAAAAATGTATGCTCTGCGTCATCACATTTGTATCCACAGTATTTACAGTCGGCGCTGTTAACTTTGTTTCTGTCAAACAGATATTTCCTGAAGTACCCGTGGCCGGTAAGAAACTGGGTCAGGTAAAAATTCACTTCCCCAAATTGCCTCTCCGTCCACGGTCTCAGGTCGTCAATGAGTCGTCTAGTCCATGCTCCGTTCGTGCTCATCCTCCATTGTTTGTTCCAGTCCGTCATCGTCCTAGTTCTTTCGTCCTGGGCAGCTTCCGTTCTGGTCATGTCGCTGTTTCGTTCGTACACGCGTTTCCGCTCTCTGGCGAGCATGTTTATCGGGATAACCCCCGCCACCACCAGGACAGCCTCAGCCGAGACTGTCCTGTAGGCGCAGGCTATCCTCAGTGCTCCCTGTCTTTGTACGTTTGTCAGTCGTTTGCAGTATTTCTTGACCCCCAACGCGTCGGCCCACACCTCCGCCCCGTAGAGCATGATCGAGTGGGTCGTTGTCATCAGTAGTCGTCTCTTCCATTGTCTCGGTCCAAATGTATTTGCCATAAGACGACTGAGAGCGGAAGTCCTCTCTGCCGCCTTCCTCGCTGTCTGTTGTATGTGCGGCCAGAAGGTCATCTTCGTATCTAGGGTCACCCCCAGATACTCGACCGCCCCACTGGTCCGCAGCGATACCTCTCCGACTGTCATGGGAATCTGGGTATTAATCCTGCTTCCCGTCAGAAGGATGAGTTCTGTCTTGGCCAGGGCAAGGCTAAGTCCGCGTTCAGTCATCCATCTATTGATTCGTAACATCGCGCGGTTCAGAAGCATTTGCGCCAGCTCCGGGGTACGGGCTATTATCACCACAGCCACATCATCGGCGTAGGCAACCAGCTCCACCCCCGGTGGCATCGGTAGTCTTAGTAGTGCGTCGTACAGTATGTTCCAGAAGTCGGGTCCAAGGATTGAGCCTTGGGCGACTCCTGCTGTGATTCGTCTGGTCACTGTTCTGTCGGTCGTCTCGTATCGAATCCATCTGTCGTGTAGGTACTCCCTCATCACCCGCATCAGGTATTCGGGAACCCTGAAAGTTTGTAGGGCCTCCAGAATATCCCCCCACCGAGCGGAGTTGAAGGCATTCCTGACATCAAGAGTCGCGAGAAGTACTATTGGCCTCGCTCCGTAGCACACGAGCCTCGTCCGCCGAAAGGCGTCGGTCACTTGTCGAATCGCCCCTATAGTTGAGCAGCCCCGTCTGAATCCGTACTGGTTTCCTGCAAGTCCTCCGTTTGCAGTTACCGCGTTCGTCAGTCTTGGTTTCAATAACGCTTCGTAAAGTTTACCCGCTGTGTCTAGAAGACTCAGGGGTCTATAGGAAGACGGACTATTCGGCTCTCCTTTTCCTTTATGCAGGAGAACCAGTCTAGCAGTCTTCCATCGTCTGGGAAAGATGCCCGCACGTAAGACCGCGTTATACTTATCCAGGAGGAGTCCTGGACGTACGCTCACGATCTGCTGGAGGATCTCTCCCGGTATACCGTCTGGTCCGGGTGCCTTACCAGGCTTGATCGTGGACACAGCCTTAATAAGCTCTGCCCCGACAAACTCTGGCACTGTCGTCTCTTGTTCGTTCGTCATTTCTTCCGTCTCTGGTTGGTTTGGGAAAAGTCCATCTACTATTGCTTTCATGGTGTCTTTGTCTTTTGGTTCAGAAGGGCCAAGGGCCCCCAATTTCTTGGTCACAATCTTGTAGCCAAGTCCCCAGGGGTCCCGCTCCACTTCTTCACACAACTGTCTAGCGCATCGGTTTTTACTGTCCTTTATTTTAGTGGTCAGTCTCTTACGTGCCATCTTGTACGCTGTCGATAGTTCGTCCGCGTCTGGTCTGCTCTTTTTCCGTGCGCGGTTCATCCTCCGGCGGCAGGCAATGCATTCCCCACGGAGGAGGCCAATCTCGTCCGTCCACCAGTACATTGCTCGTTTGTGTGTTCGGCCCTTGCGTCGAGTCATCGTGGCGTCGCACAGTTCCGTTATCAGTTCCGTTGTCTTGTCCGTTATCCATTCGGCACGCTCCCGCAGACCAAGCTCTGCCGGGACAGACTCGGCGGGTAACGGTGCCTCCCTTAGCAGTTTGTCAAACAGCTCTCTATCTTGTCGTCGTAAGTTCCAATACGTTGAAGTCCTGTCTCTAGTTTGTCCGTTTCGTATGTTCGTCGATTGATTTGTCACCTCAAAGACGATGTGCTGATGATCGCTGGCTGTATAGTCCTCGGTCACCCGCCATCCTCTTATCCGCGACGAGATCCTGTCTGACGTCATCGTCACATCGGGTATTGAGTATCCGAAGCCCGGTCGTCTATAGGTCGTTGTCGTCCCTTGGTTGACCACTACCAGATCAAGCCTTGCGGCCATTTCCAGAAGCAGTCTTCCTCGTTTGTCCGTCGTTGTCATACCCCACTCGACCGCTCTCGCGTTCATGTCTCCCGCGACGACAAAGTCACCCGGGAGACCTGTGAGGGCGTCTTCCAGCTTACCGACTTTTTCCTCGTACACTGCCATCGTGCAGTTTGGGGTCAAATATACGCTAACGTAGGTGACGGAATCTACCCTCACCCACGCGTAATCTTCCCCCCTGCCAGACGCTTGTATTCTCCTAGCCGGTTTGCCTTTGACCCATATGGCCGACGTACCGAGGGTATTCGAGAACCAGCCGTCCTGTTCTCGTAAGTCCCACAGTTGCTCGCTCAGTATCAGTATGTCTACGTTTCGTTCCTTCGCTGTCTGTGATATAAGCAGCTGGGCTGCCTCGCACCTACGCAGGTTTCCTTGTAAGATTCCTGTCATTGTCGTGTCTGCTTCCGGCACTCCTCCAGCGCTGCCCGGTAGGCCGCGCACGCTCCCGTTCCCGAGACGTGCGCCCTCTCCGTTGCACGCGCCTCGGAACATAGGAAGCACGTCGGCTGTTTGGTGGGGCAGGCTCTCCCGACATGGCCGGTCCCCCCGCACCTCCAACAGCACTGTCCTCTGTCAGGTCCTGTGCAGTCCGTTCGTCTATGTCCGTATCCGAGGCACCGGTAGCACCTCGGGACCGTCAATCTTTCTCTCAGCCGACAGTTGACCCAGCCGATCTTAATTCTGCCCTTCTTGAGCAGTTTGTGGGCCGTGTCTCTGTCTGCTTCGAACACTGCCATACAAACGTCGTGTTTATTCGGTCCGAAAATGTGGATCTTAAAGTCCGCATCTTGTCCTGTTTCTCGTTTCAATGCGTTCTGTACATCATTCGTGTCTGTAACACAGTCGAGGTCTAGTATCTCTAGTGTCTGTCCGTGTGTCATGTCTCGTACATTACCCTCATTTCCAAGAGTAACCTGGAGTTTCTCCTGGAACTTCCGTCTTGCGTCTGCGTTACAGCGAAAGCGCATGAGGAGTCCTCCGTCCTTAGTCTTCCGATATCCCGAGATATTCACTTTAGAGCCCTCGGGATTAATCTCCGTCTTTAGTCTGCGCAGGGTATCCGCGTACGTTCGTCCGTCGTATGGCCGTACCAGTATAACGTTGGTCCCCCCCTTCCGGCGGGAACCACCCGCACTGGGCCGGTTCTTGTCCAGCTCGGGCCGTTTGTTCCCGTGGATAGGCGTCGCCGCTGCGGATGTCGAAGCTAGTGGCCTCTCCCTCCGCGCGCCCAGCGCCACCACAGGGGTAGTCTGTTGCGTCTTCTGTTTGAGGGAAGTCGTCTCCGTCGTTTGGTCATTAGTCTTCTGTTTAGACTTCCTCTTTTTTCTGTTCGCGGAGTTCACCGTGGTCCAGCCTGACTCGTCCGCAACCCTTTGATAGGCCACGGCTTGCTCAGGGCTGGCCCCCGTGTCCTCCCTCTTTCTTTTCTGTCTTTCTGTCCTCCTGTCGTTTACGGACTCCAGGAGGGGATTTAGGCGGTCGCATTCACTCCATGCAATCTCCACCGCCTCCTTTATTACAGCCATACTAGTCGTTATGTCCGTACTAATATTTCTCTGTATCTTAGTCCGTGCCTCCATCTTTTCGAGCGCGGCATCAATGCGCCTGAGCTGCGTGCGAAACAGCTGGAGGTTTTCTGTCATATGTCCGTTGTCATTGTCCACGTCTTTCATGTCGGCGTCAGTGTTGGAGGTCTGCTTTTCGGAGCCCTCGTTTTTCCGCGCAGGTGGCACTTGTATGCGCCGCAGCGGTACCGTCACGTCTCGTGTATCACTAGTTCTTGTCGGTGTTCGTCCTGTCGTCGGTTCTTGGCCCTCAGCGGCAGAGACGTAGCTCACCCCGCTGCCGCCGCTTGACCCACTGTCCGTCCTCTGTCGTCTCGGTATGTTCAGTAGTTTCTTGTCGTTTTTTCCTGTCTTTCCCCCCATTCCCGTGCACAAAGTGCGGCCCTCAAAATCCGTGCCGCTGCCCGTGGCCACCGGGGCTTTCACCCGATCGGAACCCGGGGTGGATTCCTCCTGAGAAGGAGTTACCACTTGAGGTACATCAATGTTTTCATTGTGCATATTCATATTGTTGGTTTTGTCCCGTTGTGCTGAAGGTCCCTCGTGGTCGCGACTCCACGAACCGCGCTGGGACAGCGCACGGCCCCTGAGGTCCCCCCCCCTGTATGTTTACCCTGTGTGTTCAGTGTTCCCCCCTGTGGTGTGTGCGTGTACGTGAGTGCCCATAGGCGAAACCGGGCTTCATTCACGGAGAGAGTCCGTTTAGAGATATCCCCTTCTCTCGCTTTCGGGCGACTTCGTTTATAGGAGTCCCCGACCATTCGCTTTTCGGTAAGACCCGTTTATAGGGTCACCGAGCATTCACTTCTCCGGTTTGCCAGAAGGCGTGTGTGTGTGAGTGTTTGCGTAGTGTGTGTGTGTGTATGTGTATGAGTGATTAATGGTTGGACACATCGGCAGAATACCATTATCTTTTGCGTCATTTGTGAGCCATATCTTCCTCTTGGCCGTATCCGTTATAGCGTTGCTGCTCAGAGCATTGACGCGACGGACAACGTTTCCACCGGGCACGTCGTGGACGTTGGAAGCTAGCATTTGCCCAGTGAGGTGTTACCACTCACTGGACCAGCCCGGCTTTATTATTATTATTATTATTATTATTATTATTATTATTATTATTATTATTATTATTATTATTATTATTATTATTATTATTATTAACCTCATCCTTGCCCCGGTGGGATAGGAGGGGAAGTTGACCGCACCCCACCCATAATACCTTATCTAAACGTAGAATTTACCGCTCTTTCCGAATCCGGGATCGGATTTATAAGTTCTTATTAAAAATTATAGGTTCTTATTAAAAAAATGATTTTGACCTTCAAATGACCTTGAAAATAAATCTGAGTCAAATTCGATCTCTGGGAAAGGTGTCCCTCATTGTCCCAAACAACTTTTGTCTGAACAATTTTTTTTGTAGAACGTCAACCGTAGAAAATTTCGGGGTGGTTTTTTTTAAATAGGATACCCTGTTTAATTAACCCATTAACGTCCAAAATGTCAAAATTTCTTGCACGTTTTCAAAGTGATTTTTTCCTATGTAATTGGCGTTGAAAAAATTCTTGAACCACATATTCTGATGTAAAATTGCATGCTCTTTCAGAATCCGTTGCCAGAATCATGATAAAATTCACAGGAAAAGAGATATGCTCGATTGAAACATAAAAAACACCTAAATTTTCGAAAAAAAAAAATTTTTAGGATTTTTTTTCGAAGTGTTACGGTGAAGATATTACCTTGCGACCGTGATCAAAGGTGATCATGGGATTTGAAGTTTAACAGGGAATTTTTTTGTTTACCTTGAGCCATCGCTTCTTTACAAAATGGCGGAAAAAACGAATTTTTTTTTTTTCAATCTTCATCAACTTTTCTCTCAAAATCTATGGTCTTTAGAAAAAAATTCATAAAAACAAAAATGCCTTCGAATCGCTCGAGGAACATTCTCAAATTTTTTCAGAATTTTTTGAGACAATTTTTGATTTTCCGGGAAACTTGGGAAATGGAATTTTCAAAAATGTCTCCAAGAATTTTTTCAACGCCAATTACATAGGAAAAAATCACTTTGAAAACGTGCAAGAAATTTTGACATTTTGGACGTTAATGGGTTAACTAAAAAAAATATTTTTAACCTATGTAACGGGGTCGATATCCGTCTATTTACTTATGCACACGTTCGCATTAAAGAGCGCGCGGGATTGTCTAAACGTTTAAACTCGTCAACCGGAGAGCAGGAGGGAAAGGGCGTTAGTCAACCAACCTTCTACCAGCGAGAAATAATAATTTCAAAATTACAGTCAAAATCACATGCGAGATCGTTTATTTTCTCTTATCTCTACAATACGTTTGGCCCGCGTGTTTATGTTTACAAGGCGCGCGCGCGTCAATAACATGCAGTGTCGGATCGCTCGCCGCTCTTTGTTCGCCGAGTTAATACATGCACGCTTCTTACTGAGTACGGGGAATTAGTTATTAGCAATTATACAGCAATCGCGATATTAAGCTGGCCAGCTTACCTTATCAACGGTCGTCCTACTCGGAAGGGGCAAGGAGACAAGTTTATCAAAGTTCGCCAATGTCTTTTTTGCCGGAACAGTCTCCTACGTTTCGCCCTCGATGGCGAAATACTCCGCACTTACTTGCTCGTACACAGTATCTCACGACGACGGACAACGATCCTTGCAACTTCGGAGACGTCACCTCGTGTGGCAAATCGGCTATCTCACTTGAAAAACTCTACCGAAACTTTACGGAGAAAACTCTTTGTTACCTGGTGGCTAGCTGCTCGGATTTCTGGTCCTCCACTGGTTCATTTATATTCGCGCGCATTCCGGTACGTCTCGTGCCGAATTCCCTCGTTACATTTTTCCCCAACCGGTAGGTGCTGCCCTCGCAGGGAGCCGCGTGGTTGGGCTGCCAGCTCTAATGGGACGTTTAACGTCACACCTAAAAATGAAATTTGGTGAAGATTTGCATATATAAAAAGACAGAATAAAAAGCGTCTATTTGATAAAGAAAAATTATATGCTAATTCATAGATTGAAGTGATTTCTCAAAACTTGAAGAATACTTGAAAAAATGATGTTTTCCTTTAAGTAATCTTCATTTTAAATCACTATATTAAATTTCTAAAATTACTCAACGAAGTTGTTTCAAGAAAATACAAAATTCACGTCTCGTCAGTGTTCAGAGTTCCTCGAAACAGTTTTGATATTAAAAATATAGTAATTATGAATAAAAATAAATATTGTAAAAAAATAATAATTTTTTCGGAAAATTCAATGTAGCTTCTTTGAATCACCAAATAAGCTAATACTAAAGTGGGAATTTGAAAAAGAAGACTGTTTGGTTAAAAATGTTATGGATTTTCTTCTAGCTTGAATATATGACTATTATGATGCTGAAAGTGGTGGGAAAAATTAGCTCTGAAAACGATGTATTTGTTGAATATGATAACCTTATTAGATTTCAAAAAATTTTTAGAAGGACTAATAAATGGCATTGAGATATCAAGTAAGGTTTTTTTTTCTAATGTGTATAATCTTTTGTGAGTAGCCATTTTCGACGTTTATATTTTTATTATGATATTTTAATAAATTTCAATTATCTATTAAATGGCTATTATTTTAGTTTTTGAATAAAACGGAATATAAATACGTCTACTCTTCTCTAAAACCAAACATTGCCTGACATGTATTGTTAAAAAAATAGTGTGAGCCTAGCTTCAGGGTTTTAAAAAAATAGTGCACATATGAAACGTATATTCACGATAATTAATGAAAATAAGGAGAGGCAGCAGTATTAGTAACACCTAAACATTTCGTAAGGA